TCTAAAACTGATATAGGTACAGGAGCTGCCATAGTAACAAATAACCAAATCTTCTCATGGAGTTTAGGATTAGTATACAGCATTTTTAATGCTGAACTTTATGCAATATGGCAGGCACTTTTGTTTTTCTTATTAAGTGAAAACAACAAATGCCTAATATGTACTGACTCGTTAAGTGCTGTAACTTCTCTGAAAGACCTGTTCTCTTCAAATGATTTAGTAGTAAGGATTCTGGAATTAACCACAGATTTAATTTCTCGAAAAAAAGAGGTGACACTCATGTGGATCCCAGGTCATTCTAGCATACTAGGAAATGTCCTAGCTGACTCTGCTGCCAGAAACGCAACATTTGGTGCCACAGATGAAGGAATTTCTATACCACTCAATGATATAAAAAACCACATTAAAAATAAGATCTACTCTACATGGCAAACTAAGTGGAATACATATGATGAACTATTAAGAGTCTCTAAACCCAGTATCCAAAAGTGGTTTTACCCTAAAGAATTAACAAGACAAGAACAAGTCGTATTATGTCGAATAAGAATAGGACATACAAATATCACTCACCTGTACCTGCTCGCAGGTTCAGCAAGACCAAGATGCGATTATTGTAGAGAAAGGCTAACAGTACCACATATCCTGAACTGCCAAAGATACGAACACCAAAGAAATTCCATTCAGTTATCACCTGAAATTGAAAATGCGTTAATAAATGATCATGACAAAATAAAGAGATTACTTACTTACCTCATATCAATATGTTAAGTAAAATATGAAAAAAGTACATGCGAAAAATGGAGCTAATGACCCCGGCAGTCGAAGCTCAAAAAAAAAAAAAAAAATAATAATAATAATAATAATAATAATAATAATAATAATAATAATAATAATAATAATAATAATAATAATAATAATAATAATAATAATAATAATAATAATAATAATAATAATAATAATAATAATAATAATAATAATAATAATAATAATAATAATAATAATAATAATAATAATAATAATAATAATAATAATAATAATAATAATAATAATAATAATAATAATAATAATAATAATAATAATAATAATAATAATAATAATAATAATAATAATAATAATAATAATAATAATAATAATAATAATAATAATAATAATAATAATAATAATAATAATAATAATAATAATAATAATAATAATAATAATAATAATAATAATAATAATAATAATAATAATAATAATAATAATAATAATAATAATAATAATAATAAATGCACAAAATAATGCACGATACAATAACACAGATAGCAATCGTAGAATCAATTTTCACAGGAGATCTAACAGTTGTGATAGAATGGGTTCTTCAAACGCACAGGTCACTACACAGGATATGCAAACAAATCAAAGTCCTGACACTGCTCGTGTTGACGACAGTCTTAGGTCTAGTGTCAGCAGCTCTGGCACACAGAATTTTCACTAATGGATGGAGTAAAACGCAATCTGTATAATTACGTCCATCCACGTGAATTTCTCAAAATTCAGGATTGCCTAGAACAAAAACAAAAAAATAGTTTAGTTGTGATAAAAGCAAGTGTAAATAATGTGAGTGTACAAGTTTTAATTGACACGGGATCAGAAACATCATTAGTAAGCGAAAGCGTTGTAAATAAATTGAATCTAAATAATGTTACAAAAGTTCCAAAAATTAATTTAATTGGTATAAATAAAAAGAAATTCAGTGAAGTGAACAAATCCATAATTATTAAGTTATATAGTAAAAACAAAAATTTTGAAGTGCATCTACTAGTGGTGAAAAAGATATGGAGTATAATATTTTATTGGGAACAGACGAATTACAGAAAAATAATGCAGACATCAACTATGAGAACAAAACTGTGAATTTGAATGGGATAGAGATTGAATTTGAAGAAAATGATACGAAATTGAAAGACGAAAGCTTAATTATTATTATGAATAAAGAAAATAGCGAAGAAGAAACATTGGCAAAGAAAATGTATGGTATTTTTAATGAAGATAAGATGGTATTTAGAGAAGGAGATATGATAAATGATAGTGAGGATAATTTGAATGGTTATTATGAAGATGGAAATGAAGCAAATAATATAATAAATATTGAAAATTGGAAAGGGATAAAATTAGATTGTGGAAAAGAAAGAAAGAAAAAGATGATGGAATTGTTGGAGAAATATGAAGAATTATTTAATAAGAAATCAAGAGTTGCCAAGAATTTTGTACATAGTTTGAAAGTAAGGAATATGGAAACATTTAGAGGAAAAAGCTATCCAATCCCATATAAATATAAAGATGAAATGCTAAAAGCTATAAGAAAATTAATAGAAGATAAGATTATAGAATACAGTACTACTCCATATATAAACCCAATTGTGATTGTAAAGAAGAAAGATGGAGATATTAGGATTTGTCTAGATGCAAGGGAATTAAATAAGAAATGTATACCTGAGTATGAAGCTCCTCTAATTATAGAGACTATTTTAGGAAGAATATCACATGCAAAAATTTTCACGAAACTGGATTTGAGGCACAGTTTTTGGTTGATACCTCTAGACGAAGATAGCAGGGATTATACAGGCTTTATGATAGATGGAGTTGTGTACAGATTTAGAGTGGTACCTTTTGGAACTCAATCTGCGACTTCAGCTCTACTAAAGGCTCTACATAAAGTTCTAAATAAGTTCGAAAAATATACACTACATTATATTGACGATATACTAATATTTTCTGAAAACGAAGGAGAACATTGGAAACACATATAAACTATTTTATATGCACTCGATGAAGCAGGCTTAAAACTAAATATTAATAAATGCGAATTTTTCAAAGACGAAGTGATCTATCTTGGTTACAAAATAGATTCAGAAGGTGTGCGTATGGATTCCAATAGAATCAAAGTTATTAAGGATTATAAGCAACCAACAAATCTAAAAACACTTAGAGGTTTCCTAGGAATTTTGCACTATTTTAAACGCATGGTACCTGATTTGACAGAAAAGGAAATTCCTTTAATAGAATTGCTAAGGAAAAATGTCAAATGGCAATGGACTAAAGAAAGAGAAGAAGCATTCCAACAAATCAAGGAAGAGTTTACAGAAAACGTGAAAATTTATCATCCAGACTACTCGAAAACTTTTATATTACGGACAGATGCTTCCCAACAAAGATTCGCTGGCGTACTGTTACAAAATCACGAGATAGGTGAAGTACCTATATCATTTGTGTCTCGTATAACTAAAAAAGCTGAGAAAAACTATAGCGTCAGTGAGCTGGAGCTAGCAAGTATTATTTTCTGCATCAACAAACTTAGATTTTTCTTACTAGGGAATTCATTCTTAATAGAGACTGACAATCAGGCTTTGACAACAATACTCAAAAACAAATATGGCAATCAAAGAATTCCTAGATGGGCACTTCTCCTACAGGAATATGCTTTTGAAATAAAATACGTCCCTGGAATCAAAAATAATATAGCAGATGCAATCACACGCATGGATGGGGAAGAATCTAAAGAAAGGAGAAATAAGTTCATAGGAGTGAACATCATGAAAGCAGACATTGGCACTTTTTCCTTGAAAAAGATAAAGTCAGACCAAACAAAACTAACACCTAAAGAGAAAGTAAAGACAATGACTAAAGAAGGTATAATCTACAAGCTAAATAATGTCATTTCTGAAGAGCTAATAAGAGAAATTACATTAAAATTGCATGCCATATATAACCACATAGGAGTTCGAAAACTATTTGATATTTTTAGGAAAAACTACATAGTAAGAAAAGATCTATCCATAATCAAAGATATTATATCTAAAAGTAGACTATGTCAGTTGGGAAAAGATAGAAATTATCATAACGAAAGTCTACCAAAGGCTTTAATCACAGAAAGACCACTACAAATGATATCAGTGGATTTTATATCAAGCAAACAGAATAATCAACACATATTTATTATCACAGATGTATTCTCAAAATATGTGAAAATGTATCCTTGTCCTAAAACAAATAAAAAGATGGTAAAAAAGTATCTAACTATTTCATGGAAATAGGGACTCCAGAAACGTGTGTGATGGACAACGCAACCTATTTTAATAACGAAAATCTAAAAGCCTGGCTAGGAAAGTCAAACATCAAGGCAAACTTTATAAGTATACGACATCCATGTGCAAATATAACCGCTGTATGCACCGGCATACTAGACGAAAAGCCTCCGGTTCCCCAGGTATTTGTAATATCTGCTTCTGTTCATGGACACTGAAAAGAAATACGTTTAACACTTGGACATCTCATATTTCACAGTGAAACACAGGTATTTTAATTAAAAACTATCATTAGTGACTAATTTAAAAACTTACTTACCATAATTGAGTATTTAAGTAATCAAAAAGACGATAAATCTTTCTATTTACATCGAAAATAACCTCATAATCTTGTGGATAGATTTTAAGACGATTGCGTTATAAGCCATCTTTTGTCCGATTTAAAAAATTACCATATATCCGGTCAAAAGATTGCTACTTACATTAGTAAGCGCCGTGCAGTGAGTAGAACATTAAGCCGCGGTACCTAACTGTATTTTTGTCGCATAATGCGCCATTTTCGATCCAAGAATCGATCTTTAAATGACGTATTATATTATTTTTCGTTTTTTAAGTTTATTTTTACATTTTTCTGTTTCTTTATCTCATATTAGCCATAAAGAACCTTTGAACTCGCACTAAACCCTGATATTAACATTTTTTAAATAAAACTACAAGTTATATACAGAGTCTCAAATTTTACTTACTTTTATTTCAATAATTCAAGAGTTGACGATACATAGATGAAAACTTTTAAACCCATTATCTAAAAGAATTAAGTTATATTGTTTCATCACAATCGCGCATTGCATCAGCTACTATTTCAGCCGGAGCATTAGGTATTTGGATGAATGAGGATGATTTGTAATCTAAATTACTTTTAAATAAAATAATACTTGGGTAATGTTACTCTTTATTAAAATATTCATTCCATAAGAATTTATGGCTGCTAAACGTGAAGCTCATTACAGTATGGTGCCAGACGAGGAGCCTTAATAAAAAAAAATTGTATATGATTAAAATAAATTAGAATAATTAAATTAAAATTAAAATAAAATAAAAAAAAAATAAACACGCCATTCATTACCCATTACAATATAGCTACTTAAACGTAATTACAACATCCTCCTCATTACAATATATATCCAGATTTGTCGTATTGATATTTATCGTTAGATATTGAGATGGTTTTAGAGTATTCTTCAATTAACTATTACAAAAAAAAAACTGTTGTAGACTTTTCTAGTAAATATGTTGAAAATACTAACACAAAAGTAGTTAGAACTGGCATTAGACGAAGTAGTTACGGACATTTAACACGACCAAGGTGAGAAGGTCAGCATTCGAGAATATAGAACCCAACATGTTCCATGAGAGTCATCCAAAATAATAAAAAGAAGATAGACAAGAAGGATCATACTGTAGCTGTTTTGACGAGGATACTTTTATTTCTTTGGCTGTGGGTGTGATAATTATGTCGTCACATTGATAGTACATGTCGAGCCTATAAGAATAGCAAACATACAATAGAACTAAAAAACGGACAATGAACGTAACATAACCATTTGTATTATCTCAATAAATTTCCTATATATGGAGGCGTCGATATACATGATAATTATGTAGCTAATTACAGAAGTGGTAATATCTCAGTAAACTTGTGGAAACTATATAACAGTAAACAGCACAAATATGTGCCTAAAATAATTCAAATGTGGCATACCGATTGCTGAAAATAAATTCTTTAAACTTCAGATTCATTTCCAAATAACATACCAGCCGATATTCGTCGGGACCAATCGAGTAATTTCATATTTAAACAACCTACAAGAAGAAGATACAGATTGTATCATAGTCAGACAAGGAATTGTAATGTCCATATATACCCAAATTGCTTTGAAGGGCATCATTCAAGTTAAGTGTTTCAGCCAACATTGCGTTCACGCAACAGTAATGTTCTTGTATTATAAAAAAAAATGAACTACTGCTTTTATTTGATGCTATAATAGATCATTTGGAAAAATATTTCATTATGTTATCTATTTTTTCCATGCTTGGGCAATAATGGGTAAATTGGAATTTATTTCAAAAAAGGAGATGTGACAAATTTTTTCCACGAAAAATATACGACAAAAAATCGACAAATTATCCACATATAAAATGTTTTTACAGCTAAGCCACCACTGCTTGTATATAAGATTATTTTCTTTTATATTTATAATTTAAATAAGAATGAGACTTAAATTTTATTATCTTTTAATAGTTAAGTATCACCTCAGGGTTAATAAATGGTTAGTTCAAATGGAACATGTTTTTAGACGAAATAGAAGAATTATTATATTTACACGAAAGAAACTTCAACTAAAATAATATAGTCAATTACTTGTAATTAGTACAAATCAGGACTTAAAAAAAACACAATTCCATTATGTATTAAAAGTATTAACATAGTATCAATTCTTATTGCAGTTATCTATGCTTTGGTTTCGCGTATATAGACTTAGTGGAAACAGTTTCTCCCAAAACTCAAATCGCTTCCTGTGAAGATGATCTTTAAATTCAATAGTATTACCGATATCGAGATATTTTTGTATTGATGAGGTAAACGGCTCCCATTTGGCTCCAATTAGGTTTTTTGGAAGATCATGTGTTGGATTGCTAAAAAAACATTTGATAAGGTTAGAGGATCACCGAAAAAGAAAAGATAATTATTTATTGAAGATAATAACTCTAGATTCTTCTAAAATATTTATTTAATTACTTTTTTAATCTATTTTTGAAATAAAATAACAGTAATATACAGGCTGTCCAGCGACAGGGGACACTATATGTATACAATAAACCAAAGGACGGAATTTAATAAAAATTGGTAAAAATAGTAAACCGATAATATTATCGGATTGAGAGAATATTCTCTCAATCTAAAATAATTTAACAGTTCTTTCATTTCCTATTATATCGGAAGTAGATGTCAACTAAATTATTTTATTTATTCATTTACGGGTCAAGACCCATTTTACAGATTAGTATATAAAGTTCCATAACAAATGTAAAATGACTGACATTACAGCCAGTTATAAACTAGTAAGTAAACAAAGAAATATAAATAAAAAGAAAATGAAATAGAAAATATAAAAATATATATAACAAAATATAAACAAATTAAAAAAAATAAATATTCAACAATTACATATTAACATGTAAGCTTTTTATAGCTCGTTTAAAAGCAGGAAGAGAATTATGGACAATATCAATATTCTGATGTTTGTTAGCTAATCGTAAAATTCTGGATATTGTCTCATTTTGTCCGTAGTTAGTGTGATAAAAAGGTACACTAAATAGTTTAACATTCCGCGCACATCTTTTATTTACATTGAAAAGTATCAAGTTCAATAGTTCGAAATTGGATACAATACTATTTAATTTTTTATTTACATTAAAAAGTATCAAGTTCAATAGTTCAATTCTATTTTCCTGTGCTTCAGTGTTTGCTTGTTTAATTGGAGAAGATTACTTTTAAAATTAATATTTAATCCGTTTATGCCCATTTTCAAAAAAAAAATCCCCAAAAATTTTCGGTGTACTTTCTGAATGTGATTAATGTAAATAACATATTTGGGGGCTAAACAGCTGTATTCTAAGTTAGACCTGATCAAAGTCGAGTACAGCAGTTTAAATGTATTAATGGAAAATTGTCTACTGTTCCTCTGAATAAATCCTAACATTTTAAATGCCTTAGAGGTTATTTGACTAAAGTGAGTGTTAAAGAAAAGCTTACTGTCCATAATAACTCCCAAATCGCGTACATTGTCGTTAGTTTGTAGCACACAATTATTAATTCTGTATGAATAGTCAACTGGAGAGGCAATTCTAAAAAAGGTGAATTGATGACATTTTTTAACATTTAAGTACAACACATTTACATCACACCAACGGGACAATCTATTTAAATCCTCTTTTAGTAACAAAGCATCTGTTTCACTGGAAACTGATCTAAATATTTTCACATCATCAGCAAACATCAGATATTTACTGTTAGAGATGACACTAGAAGATCATTAATAAATAAATTGAATAACAACGGACCCTGTGGTACACCTGAAGATACTGTAATTTCCTCAGATTTGCAGTTGCCATATTTAACATATTGAATCCTGTTACGCAAATAACTATCAATACAATTTAATATAATATTACCAAATCCATAGCCTCTTAGTTTAGTAATTAGTATGTCATGGTTGACCCTGTCAAATGCTTTTGAAAAATCCGTTTAAACAGAATCAACTTGGACACCTCGATTCTAAGGATAGTACGATGAAATAGTTATAATCGACTACATTTGTACAAGTAAACTATCCTTTACAAAACCCCATGTTGTTGGTTTAAAATCAGATGTTTACAATTGAATTTTGAATACTTATTGATAAAATAATCTAAATTTTTAGAAATTTCAGATTGTATACAAATTGCACGGTAGTTTTCGACTTTTTATTTTGGTCCAGATTTGTAAATAGGTCTTAAAAAACTGCTCTTCCAATAAACAGGAAATTCACCTCAAGAAAGAGATAAGTTAAAAAGAAAACACAGAAGTTTTGTCAAAGTAAATAGAAAGTAAGCATAAATCTCATCAGGGCCAGCTGTAAGTTTCCAGGGTAAATTCATAACACGACTAACAATACCATTATCTTCAATTCGATAGTAGTTTACTTCAACAGAGCTATTAAAATGAAATACTGGAATTTTATTAATTTCAATGCCTGAGTATTCCGTAGAAAAAAAGACTGAAAACAAATTCACGATTTCTTGGATTGTTGTTACTTGTTGTTACTTGTTGTTACTATATGTCATCATAATAGAAGGCAAGTTGTAAGATTTTTCTCGTCATTAAAATATTTCCAAAAAGATCAAAAAGATCTGAAATTATTTTAGTATAGGAATCATGATTTTTTTCGACTGGTGTGTGTGTGTGTGTGTGTGTGTGTGTTTGTGTTTGTGTTTGTGTTTGCGTTTGCGTGTGCGTTTGCGTGTGCGTGTGCGTGTGCGTATGCGTATGCGTATGCGTATGCGTATGCGTATGCGTATGCGTATGCGTATGCGTATGCGTATGCGTATGCGTATGCGTATGCGTATGCGTATGCGTATGCGTATGCGTATGCGTATGCGTATGCGTATGCGTATGCGTATGCGTATGCGTATGCGTATGCGTATGCGTATGCGTATGCGTATGCGTTATGCGTATGCGTAATGCGTATGCGTATGCGTATGCGTATGCGTATGCGTATGCGTATGCGTATGCGTATGCGTATGCGTATGCGTATGCGTATGCGTATGAGTATGCGGTTTGCGTATGCGTATGCGTATGCGTATGCGTATGCGTATGCGTATGCGTATTGCGTATGCGTATGCGTATGCGTGATGCGTATGCGTATGCGTATGCGTATGCGTATGCGTATGCGTATGCGTTATGCGTATGCGTATGCGTATGCGTATGCGTATGCGTATGCGTATGCGTATGCGTATGCGTATGCGTATGCGTATGCGTATGCGTATGCGTATGCGTATGCGTATGCGTATGCGTATGCGTATGCGTATGCGTATGCGTATGCGTATGCGTATGCGTATGCGTATGCGTATGCGTATGCTTATGCGTATGCGTATGCGTATGCGTATGCGTTATGCGTATGCGTATGCGTATGCGTATGCGTATGCGTATGCGTATGCGTATTGCGTATGCGTATGCGTATGCGTATGCGTATGCGTATGCGTATGCGTATGCGTATGCTGTATGCGTATGCGTATGCGTGCTATGCGTATGCGTATGCGTATGCGTATGCGTATGCGTATGCGTATGATGCGTATGCGTATGCGTATGCGTTATGCGTATGCGTATGCGTATGCGTATGCGTATGCGTATGCGTATGCGTATGCGTATGCGTATGCGTATGCGTATGCGTATGCGTATGCGTAAGCGTATGCGTATGCGTATGCGTATGCGTATGCGTATGCGTATGCGTATGCGTATGCGTATGCGTAGCGTATGCGTATGCGTATGCTTATGCGTATGCGTATGCGTATGCGTATGCGTTATGCGTATGCGTATGCGTATGCGTATGCGTATGCGTATGCGTATGCGTATGCGTATGCGTATGCGTATGCGTATGCGTATGCGTATGCGTATGCGTATGCGTATGCGTATGCGTATGCGTATGCGTATGCGTATGCGTATGCGTATGCGTATGCGTATGCGTATGCGTATGCGTATGCGTATTGCGTATGCGTATGCGTATGCGTATGCGTATGCGTATGCGTATGCGTATGCGTATGCGTATGCGTATGCGTATGCGTATGCGTATGCGTATGCGTATGCGTAATGCGTATTGCGTATGCGTATGCGTATGCGTATGCGTATGCGTATGCGTATGCGTATGCGTATGCGTATGCGTATGCGTATGCGTATGCGTATGCGTATGCGTATGCGTATGCGTATGCGTATGCGTATGCGTATGCGTATGCGTATGCGTATGCGTATGCGTATGCGTATGCGTATGCGTATGCGTATGCGTATGCGTATGCGTATTGCGTATGCGTATGCGTATGCGTATGCGTATGCGTATGCGTATGCGTATGCGTATGCGTATGCGTATGCGTATGCGTATGCGTATGCGTATGCGTATGCGTATGCGTATGCGTATGCGTATGCGTATGCGTATGCGTTATGCGTATGCGTATGCGTATGCGTATGCGTATGCGTATGCGTATGCGTATGCGTATGCGTATGCGTATGCGTATGCGTATGCGCTATGCGTATGCGTATGCGTATGCGTATGCGTATGCGTATGCGTATGCGTATGCGTATGCGTATGCGTATGCGTATGCGTATGCGTATGCGTATGCGTAGCTATGCGTATGCGTATGCGTATGCGTTATGCGTATGCGTATGCGTATGCGTATGCGTATGCGTATGCGTATGCGTATGCGTATGCGTATGCGTATGCGTATGCGTATGCGTATGCGTATGCGTATGCGTATGCGTATGCGTATTGCGTATGCGTATGCGTATGCGTATGCGTATGCGTATGCGTATGCGTATGCGTATGCGTATGCGTATGCGTATGCGTATGCGTATGCGTATGCGTATGCGTATGCGTATGCGTATGCGTATGCGTATGCGTATGCGTATGCGTATGCGTATGCGTATGCGTATGCGTATGCGTATGCGTATGCGTATGCGTATGCGTATGCGTATGCGTATGCGTATGCTTGTATGCGTATGCGTATGCGTATGCGTATGCGTATGCGTATGCGTATGCGTATGCGTATGCGTATGCGTATGCGTATGCGTATGCGTATGCGTATGCGTATGCGTATGCGTATGCGCTATGCGTAGCTATGCGTATGCGTATGCGTATGCGTATGCGTATCGTATGCGTATGCGTATGCGTATGCGTTATGCGTATGCGTATGCGTATGCGTATGCGTATGCGTATGCGTATGCGTATGCGTATGCGTATGCGTATGCGTATGCGTATGCGTATGCGTATGCGTATGCGTATGCGTATGCGTATGCGTATGCGTATGCGTATGCGTATGCGTATGCGTATGCGTATGCGTATGCGTATGCGTATGCGTATGCGTATGCGTATGCGTATGCGTATGCG